GGGCCCCAATCCTTTATTTTCCTTCCTAAAAAGGCTTCAAGGGGGCGGGGAGTTCTCAACGTTTAGGGTTTGTTGTTCAGGGTTTCCAGGACGGGCCATTGTACCCTATCCCCCCCTAAACAAGGCCCTTTATAGGGTTGTTTCTGGGGATTATAGGGCCTAATAGCCCATCGTGCTTAGGGTGTAGGTGTTAGGGTTTAGGGTTTAGGGTTTTGGGGGGTACTACAATCCCAATTCAGGGGGCTGTTAGTATAAGGGGAACATGCCAAAATGTACCCAAAAGGGACCCTAATTTTGAGAACTGACCATATGTACATACTTGGTAGCCCAGTGGTACCCTGTTGCCTCGTTTTTTGGTTCAAGGTTCCCTTCTCAAGTAACGAACCCCCAAAAAGGTACCCTTATTATAGCATGGTTACTGGGCTACCAAGCATATTGCATAGACGGTTCTCATCCAAAACAAGGTCGTGGTTCCAGAATTAAGTCCAGAAGGCCGATTTGTATTTTGGACTCAGGGCCTATGGGTTTGCAGCCGTGTCTCTGGGCTCCATGACTTTGTCCAAACGGCTTGGCTCTAAGGTTAGGATCTCGGTTTTTCGGGTGCTGAGCCCTGGAGTTGACAGTCATGAAGCCCTGACAAATGTTTCGCGCGAAGCTCAAGGCTGAAAACATGTCATCTGATCTCAGACGTACGCCTTCGCGCTTCAACATGAATGGCTGCTGCAACTGTTCCACGACAACCTGACACACTAAACCTTAAACCCTAAACCCCGAGAGCTTCAGGGTTTAGCCTGCTTCTGGTGTCGTAGCGGATTGACAGCACTGTCCAGGTCAGCTAGGACAGAACATGAACCGCGACATAGCAGGGTTTGTAGCTTCCAGGGCGGGCCATCATACCCTATAACCGGTTTGATTCTGGGGATTATAGGGCCTAATAGCCCATCCTGGTTAGGACAGGCGTGTTTTGATCTTTTGGACCATGCTCCTTTCGGGTTGATAGGTCTTGGGTCAGCAGCGTGTCGCATTGGTCATTTCCGGCATGAAGGGCCACTTAGCAACACTAAAACCCCTAAAGCCCTAAACCCTCAAACCCTCAAAGCCTCAAAACCTAAAACCCTAAAACCCTAAAACCCTACAACCCCTAAAGCCCCCAAAGCCCCTTAAAAAACCCTAAAGCCCTGTAACCCTGTAACCCTGAAACCTTCAAATCCGAAAGCCCGAGAAACCCAATAACCCAAAACCCTTAAAAAACCCTTCCACATCCCCAGGACTTCAAGCACACGACTCTAGGTTGGAAACATGGGCTCTTAGTACGGGTGTACATAGGGGTTATATAACAAGAGACCCAAATGAAGGACCCATACTTGGACCCCGAAAACCGTAAACCGTAAACCGTAAACCCTAAACCCTAAACCCTAAACCCTAAAGCCTGCTCCCTAAACCCTAAACCTTAAACCCTAAACCCTAGACCCTAGACCCTAGACCCTAAACCCTAAACCCTGACGCCTGAGCTTGCAGCTCAAAGGCTGCGCGGCTCGGGGACGCGCCGGCAGCGGGGACGCTGGCGCCAGGGAGGGCCTGAGGTCTAAGGGTTCTTTGAGGGTTCAAGGCCTCGCGGCTTTAAGAGCTTGAAGTATACGCATACATATATATATATATATTAATATACATATGTATATATATATATCCATACACACATTATTTTTTTGAAATGTATTTCATTCTTGGGATCCTGGGGTTTGCAAGGGCTTTGAGGGGTTCAAGTGTTGTTAAGTTTTTTTTTTCCAAGGGCCTTTGAGGGCTGTTAAGGGGTTTTGAGGGTATCCTGAGTCACCCAAAGTCCAAAAGTGCTCATCCTCATGGCCTGCATAGTTTGGGGTTCGGGGTTCGGGGGTTTGGGGTTTAACTAGGGCTTAGGGGTTTGGGGTTTGGGGTTTCGGGTCTGGGGTTTAATGTTTTTGGATTTTCAGGGTTGAGGTTTCGGATCTGGGGTTCGGGTTTACGGTTTTAGGGGGGAAGAGCTGTCGAGCTTGGTAGGTGGGCAAGGCATTGGGGTGGTTAAGCTGGCCTGTGGGGCTTCGGGAGACTACCCCTACATCCTAAACCCTAAACCTACTATGGTCCCTTGCCCTTCTTTATCATTTATAGGGATCCAAGTAGAGGCGCGTATAATAAATAGAAATATAAATAGAATATAAATAGAAATAGAAATAGATATATATATATATATATATTATAGTTGTAGAGAGAGAGAGAGTGTGTGTGTATATATATATATGTATGTACAGGTTATAGAACAAGGGACGCAAATTCTGGGCCCATACCTGGAACCCTAGAGTTTTCTGTTTTTCACAAAGGCCTATTTTTGCGAGCTTTCTCGGTGTTTGTACTGTACTTATCTAGGAGATATCTTAGGCAGCAACATTGTGGCACTTACTTCGGCTCTTGTATTACTGAGGAGCCGGGGGAAGGTCCTTCGGTCCTGTCGTGGCAACCGTTGGTGGGGCGGTTTGTCTGGAATCTCCTCCAGCGATCGAAAAGATTGATAGAGAGAGAGGCCGCGGACTGAGGAAAAGAGAGAAAGAGAGAGGGAGGGAGCTGGAGTGAGACGAGACTTGCAATCTACCAGGCCTACACCCTCAAAGCCGGAACAAGCAGTTTCTGAAGCCAAGCCGAACGCTCGGGTTTAGGTTTAGGGTTTAGGCAGGGTTTAGGGTTTAGGGTTTAGGGTCTAGGGTTTAGGGTTTAGGGTTTAGGGTTTAGGGTTGAGGGAGCCTTCAGCAAAAGGTGCCAGCGCTGTGCCAGTCCGTCGAGATCTTGAAGGGCCATGCACTGAGCGGAAAAGTCACACTCTTAAACCCGAAGCCCTCAAGCACCCTAAACCCTCAACCCTAAACCCTCAACCATAAACCCTAAACCCTAAACCCTAAACCCTAAACCCTAAACCCTAAACCCTAAACCCTAAACCCTAAACCCTAAACCCTAAACCCTAAACCCTAAACCCTAAAACCCTAAACCCTAAACCCTAAACCCTAAACCCTAAACCCTAAACCCTAAACCCTAAACCTCAAACCTCAAACCCTAAGCCTCAAACCCTTGGTTTTTTCACAATCCCTAAGCCCTCTGAGCTGACTCTGCTCTATGGAGCCATCAGTGCATCCACGACCAAATCGCCCCCAAGCCCAAAACAGCAGAACCCTAAACCGAAGCTCTAGAAGCCACTTTAGGGTTTAGGGTTTAGGGATGTTGCGCACAAGTGACTGAGAGATTCCCTCTACTACTGAGCCCTCTACGCTCTACAACTATCCCTGAAACCCTAGACCCCAAACCCCCTAAATCTAATGACCCCCCTTAACCCTAAACCCTAAACCCTACACCCGAAACCCCAAACCCTAAACACCCTAAACCCTAAACCCTAAAGCCGAAGCCCTAAACCCTTACACAATCTCCAAGCCAGAGTTCCTTTGGCCGCTGCCGAGGTACCGCCGACGCGGAGACGGCCTCGGAGGAGGGTTTAGGGTTTAGGGTTTAGTTTAGGGTTTAGGGTTTAGGGTTTAGGATTTAGGGCTTAGGGCTTAGGGCTTAGGGCTTAGGGTTTAGGGTTTAGGGTTTAGGGTTTAGGGTTTAGGGTTTAGGGTTTTAGGGTTTAGAACCCTACATACTTCTGGATGTTAGAAAGGTGGACCTGTTGTAGTAACTCTGGGCGCGTCAGGCAAACTTTGACCTGTGCCAGCTGTTCCACTCGTCGCTGGCCAGCTCGGCTGGTTTCCGGTCAAGCCTTGCTCCTTAGGGTTTAGGGTTTGGGGTTTGGGGTTTGGGGTTTGGGGTTTAGCATGCTTCACACAGCGAGTGAAGTAAGAGTCACCAAACCCTAAACCTAAACCCTAAGCCCGAAGTTTGTGAGGCCATGAACCTGGGGCACTGATCTCCCTGAATCCCTGGATGCGGTTCCTGCGGCCAGGTGGCCGAGCTGCCACCCGAGACGGAGGGCCGCCAAGCTGTCATGCTTGGTGGGGTTTGGGGGGTAAGGGGGTTTAGGGTTTTTTTGGTTAAGGGTTTAGAGGTATCGGGTATGGGTATGGGGTTGTCGAGTTCTGGGTTTAGGGGTCTAGGGTGTGTCCTTATGGGGTTTGGGGTTATGGGTTTGGCGCGTCTCGCCGTGCTGCGGCAGTAAGCTCCTCGTGGAACAAACTGGTGCCTCCAAGACGCCTGACTGTGTTTGCGTGTGTGGGTGGCGAAGGCGTCTTCTCCATTAAGAACGCAGCAGACATGAAGGCGATGTTGGGGCCATGTTCCATGTTCTCAACCTTTGTGGAGGCGTCCACGACCTTTACGGGTTCCGCCTACATGCCCACTCTCACGAAAAGGTTTTCAATACCGTCGACTCCAACAATGGGCGGGTAGCCCGGGTGGGAATTTAGCGCGAGGGTTTTGGGATTTGGGTTTAGGGACTTCAGTAGCCGCATAAAAGGTATAATATTTTTGTAATATATCTGATTCATATTCTAATTCTTTTGATTCAGTTTCTTTACCATCTGTTTCATCTTTTCCAACTTTTCCATCTTTTCCAACTTTTCCATCTTTTCCATCAGTTTCAGGCACGTCAGAAATAGTTTCTAATGTACTTGATGGTGTCTTTGTTTTTTCTTACGGTTGTTTTTACGCTTCTTACCATTCTGTTCTTCACTATCAGATGTTTGAGGTGGTTTGGGCAGCCGCCAGACCCCAAGGTATGTACCCAGCCTTTGTTCCCCAGTGGGTGAATTTAGTAATGTTGTAAACGAAACGAACGCGCTCTTTTCACTCGCGCTTTTATGAAATAAAAACGAAGTGAAATAGTAAGATTAATTTGTAGTGAACGTAGTGAAAGCACGAGATGAATCTCAATATGAACGTAGTGCATGCGCCTTTTTAATATAGTTTATAATGGCACGCAATGAAAGATATAACTTATAATCTAAACCCTAAACCCTAATCCCTATCCCCAGCAGACAATCCTCATGGGCTACCCACTGGGTGTTTGGGTAATTTCAACTTCGTCGTTGAGGAGTGCGATGACAAGCTTGGATGGTCTGGAAGGTCTGGGTGGAGTCGGTGGTGGCATGGGCAGTGCTGACACGGGGTTGGTGCAGTCTGCTGGTGGTGGGGCCTCGTCTTCGATGGGAACTTCACTTGCTGGTGGTGGCATGGGAGATGGTGCAGAGAATTGGGTGGAAAGTGATGGCGTCGGCACTCTGTCCTCGCTGGGAACCACAATGGTTGGCAATGGAGGTGGTGACCTGGTGGTGGCATGATGGCTGGGGTGGAACATCCTCCTACAGGTGAAACTGATGGAGGTGATGGTCCTGCAGCTGGTGGTGGTGGCTCAAGGTGCATCCTCGTCCTGGAGAATCTGAAGGACATGATAGCCCTGGAGTTGGAGTTGGAAGTAGTCCGGGTTTCCGTCGGGACTTCCCCTTTTATCTGACCCATGGTGGCGACAAGCTGGGTTTCACTTACTTGACGACAGTACCTGTCGCGCTCGGAAAAGGGTGACTCCAGTTCAAAAGAAACCTAAAACCTAAACCCCAAACCCTAAACCCTAAGCCCTAAACCCTAAACCCTAAACCCCCATCCCGAAGAAGCGAGCGGAAGAGAGAAAACCTTTCTAAGCATTAGCCAGAGAGCCCAATCCCCCTTAATATTAAGGAATATACCTTAAATCAGAAAGGGACCCTTAATACTAGTATGATTTAAGGAATATTCCATATTTTAAGGGGTATTTGGGCTCTTTGGGTGGCCAGGCCGTCAGCTGGCGGAGGTGGCCGCCGCGGCCATCGCAGCTGGGGGGCCTGCCGTGGCGCGTTGCTGAAAGGCTTTCCAGTGTTTAGGGTTTAGGGTTTAGGGTTTAGGGCTAGCGGGGGAGGGAATCCTCGTATGTGGGGGACTACTGGGGGCCCCTTCTTTTCGCAAACCCGATTTGGGGGTTTAAGATTTTGTGACCCTGAAGACTTGAACGCTGACTCCTATGGCTTTTGCATGCTGGCTTGGGGGAGCCGGCCCGACTCAAAACTCCCCAAACCCAACCCCAAGCCCCAAACCCCAAGCCCCAAGCCCCAAGCCCCAAGCCCCAAGCCCCAAGCCCCAATCCCCAAACCCCAAACCCTAAACCCTGAACCCGTTTTGGGTTGCGTTTTGCCAAGGCCATCCCACTGGAGACGACGGCCAGCAAGGGCTGGGAGTTCGGCTTTTTCCCGCACTGCCGGCCTTTGCATTGAAGGGGGCCTCGGTGCACGGTTTTGGGTGCCCTAAACCCGAAACCTTCAACCCTAAACCCTCAACCCTGAACCCTAAACCCTAAACCCTAAACCCTAAACCCTAAAACCTAAAATAGGGTTCAAGCCTTTGTGTTGTTGTGGGGGGAGGCGCTTGTGAACTTCTAAGGGGCGTAGGCCTTTCAGCTTGGAGGCTTTAGATGCTTTTCAAGGCCTCAGAGTAGGGCCCTTGTTCTTTTTTTAGGGTGTAGGGTTTAGGGTTTAGGTTCCCTTATGTATTAGAAGCCCGAAACTTAGGGTTTAGGTTCCCTTATATATTAGAAGCCCTTTTAACCCAAAAAGAGTATTTCTCGGGTTTGGGGTTTAGGGCTTAAGGTCACGCTTGGGAGTTTGGGGGGGTAGCCTCTCCTCCTTGAGTGCGAAGCCCGAAACTACTAAGCCCCCTAACCCCTAAACCCTAAACCCTAAACCCTAAACCCTAAACCCTAAACCCTAAACCCTATACCCTAAACCCTCAACCCTCAACCCTAAACCCTAAACCCTAAACCCTAAACCCTAAACCCTAAACCCTAACCCAGGAAAGCCCCATGGCAGGAACGGCCAAGAAGCCGAGGCCCCCATGCCGGTGATGTCGCTGGCGGGCGCCTAAGAGTTACGATGCGCTGAAGATGAAGGTTTAGGGTTTAGGGTTTAGGGTTTAGGGTTTAGGGTTTAGGGTTTTAGGGTTTAGGGTTTCGGGTTTCGGGTTTCGGGTTTCGGGTTTAGCGTTTAGGGTTTAGGTTTTCGGGACGGGTTGAAGGGGTTTAGGGTTTCGGGCTTCAGGGCCCATGGCACAAGTTTCGATCGAAGAAGGCAGCCTTAAAGATGACGTGGGTGCAGATCTAGGATGACCCAACTTAGAGGTTCATGGTACTGGTTAACGCAATTACATCTGTACTCCTTACTTCTGACCCAATCAAAACCAATTTAGGGCACTTAAGGGGCCTAGAAGTGGGTGATAAGTACAGATATGCGTGGTTAATATCCTAATCCTAAACCCTAAACCCTAAGCCCTAAACCCTAAACCCCAAACCCTAAACCCTAAACCCTGAAGTACAGTCATGACTGAGTTTATAAGTACCCATGAGCCTCCAAGCAAGGGGCTTCAAAGCTTTGAAGACGAGAGATTGGTCGAGTTTGTCAACTGGCTTTTTAGGGGTTGTAGGGTTTAGGGTTTAGGGTTTAGGGACAGCTTGATTTTGTGGCGTAGGGTGTCTAGTGTTTCTGCGGGCGTCTCACCCAGAGCTTTTAGGGTTTAGGGCTTAGTTGAGCTTTCCGGGCTTTCGGGGGTTGAGTTGTTTGGATTGGGGTTTGAGGGATATTAGGAATAAGGTTTAGGGTTTCAGGGTCAAGTGCTGCTGTGCTGTTCTTTGAGCCCCAAACCTGAAGATGAATCTCCTCCTTGACTAAGCGGCATCGTGTGTAGGAAGCATTCCTTGCTTAATCCTACCGTAACCCCTAACCCCCAGCACCTAACACCCGAACCTAAGCCCCAAAACCCTAAACCCCCCCTCCCCCGAACCCAACAACCCCCAAGCCCCAAAGCAACAAAAACTCTAAAGCCCTGAAAGCCCTCAAACCCCAAAAGCCCTACAGCCTCCCAAGCCCTAAACCCAAAAACCCAAATCCTAAAATTCCCCAAGCCCAAAACCCTACAAAGCCCCCTTGAAAGCTCGAGCATCGGATCACAGGCGTTTCTGCTTCTTCGCAGAGATTCTTTGCTGCACTTCGACATTGGGGTTCGGGGTTGTATGGTTTGTTTTTCGACTTTTGAGGTTTTGGGGCTTTAATATAGGGGTCGAATAAATACTAGTAGTATTCCCTTTGGTATTCCCTTACGGTCCCTATACAAATATACTATAATGACCCCCTCCCCCCCCCCCCCCCCAAAACAAACCGATTCTAATTCTTAAGGCCCCTACGTTTACCCCCCGTGGATAGGCTTCGGGGTAGCGTCATGTGGCTGCGGGGCCAACGAAAACGTCGGATACTGCCCCCCCCCCCCCCCCCCCCCTCCCAGATTGGCCATCATGAGCTGCCCCAATTCGGCCCTAAAGCCTAAACCCTAAACTGACCTTAGGTTATGAACCCTAAACCCTAAACCCTAAACCCTAAACCCTGAACCCTGAACCCTAAACCCTAAACCCTACACCCTAAACCCTAAACCCTAAACCCTAAACCCTAACCCTAAACCCTAAACCCTAAACCCTGCTTTAAAACACCACAACAAAGAAGCGAAGGTGACGTTGGAAGATGTGGCGAGCACCACTCAGCTTCGGGGCCGTGAGGCGTTTGGGAGCCAGGGTGTTGAAACTGGGGGTTTAGGGTTTAGGGTTTCGGGTTTAGGGTTTAGGGTTTAGGGTGAATGGTACTTGGACGTTCAGGGTACCTCTGAACCCACTGATAACCGTGCTTGTGACCCAATCATCACCTTGTCAGGGCAGCTAAGGGGCTTATGAGTGGGTTATAAGTAATATAAGTACGTTTAGACCCCCACTTCCTGGTGGAAGCCACAAGGTCAAGGGTCAAGGGGCAGAAGGGGTTCTCTTGCTGTGAACCGCATCCAAGACTTCCACCCTGAATCCGAAGCCCTAATGCATGGTTTGTTAAGGGTTCGTGGTTTATGGTTCGCTTGAAACCCCCAACCTCATCCTACCGTTTGCTTAAGAACCCCCCAAAACAACAAAACTAAAAATAGATAAGATAATACTCCGCAAATTACCCTTATAAGGAAGAATGTGTCCAATTTTGTTCCCACAGCTTGTCGAGGCGGAATTGAAGGCGGAGGCCACGTGCCTCCGGCGTGCTTGGCAGGGTTCGCTTGCCTCAACAGGTGAGATTCGACACTCCTCTGAACGCAAAGCCCCCTACCTCCTTGACCTGGAGCCCCGTAAACCCCTAAACCCTAAACCCTAAACCCTAAACCCTAAACCCTAAACCCTAAACCCTAAACCCTAAACCCTAAACCCTAAACCCTAAACCCTACTTAGACCCTCAACCCCTAAAGCCTGAACCCAGAAATAGGAGGATTGAGGCTCTGCGGAGATCTCAGCGCAAGGAGCCATAAGGTGCAGCCTTCCAGGACTTTGAGGGCAGTGATCAGCCATTTATAACTGTACTTATAACTGTACTTGGAAGGGTTTAGGGTTTAGGGTTTAGGGTTTAGGGTTTAGGGTTTAGGGTTTAGGATTTAGGGTTTAGGATAACTGTTCTTCTAACTGTACTTCTAACCATATTTGGGGGCACTTAAGGGGCTGAGAAGTGGGTTATAAGTGCAGCATTTGGGTAATAAGTACCCTGAGCCTCCAAGTATGCCAGGTTGTCCATGCTTGCCGCCGGCATACATCGCCACCTCAACAAGGACATGCAGGGCGCATCGCGTTCGGCGTCGGTTTTGTGGTGGGGCCGGAGCTAAGGATCCAGGCTGAAGTTATTTCAAAGCAGTTCGGACAGTGCCCTTGTGGTCACCCCAGTTGAACCGTGGGCTTCGCATCCGACATGCAGTGCTTGTGTGCGGCTCCAGGACGCCCTTTCTGCAGAGCAACACTTCAAGAAGCGTGAGAACGAAATGGCCCAGCTGAGACAAGACGCTGGGACAGCATCAGTGTTCATGGTCGTTGCCATTGTCAGAAACTTGATGTTTCTTTTGGTGATTGCAGCAAGCGGTGCTCATCTGATGGGTTCTAAGTATGCATGGATTGCCCGAAAGAAATATCTAGAAAGGAGGGACGTTCACGACATTCAAGTCGACATCAGTTGTGCATGGTGCCAATTGGGGGGTCCACTTAAAAATCACGCACTAGGTACTCTAGGCTCCTGTATCAGGCATGAAGAGCTTTACGATCGCCAGCTTTGCAGGAAAAGCGATCAGCGAACCCTAGACCTTAAACCCTAAACCCTGAACCCTGAACCCTAAGCCCTCAGACCTAAAACCTAAGCCCTAAGCCCTAAGACGTAAGAAGCCCAGGGAGTGGACAAAATTGTCAGAAGCCCCTACAGTACCCTGAACCTCCAAGTACTTGCTGTTGGTTAGTAGGGAGTGGGGGAATGAGGTACCCTATAGAATCCTTTTAAGGGTTTCTATGAGGACCCTAATCCCTCATTCCCTGCTAACCAGTAGTAAGAGTAAGGCCTAAGCCCTTAGCTACACTCTTTACGAACGAACCTTACGTAGACCTTCTAGCCCTGCCCTCTGTACGCCTTAGTTCCGGAATGAATCTTAACGTCATCTTCAATTTCGGATCCTCTATATAATCTAAGGCTTTCTTACTTCAGGGGTGGAGAGGGCTCTTTGGGTAGCAGGCCATGACCTGAAGAGACCCTAAAAAGTCACAGCGACCAGCTTTGCTTCGAGATGCATTCGGCAGAAGCATCGCGCGTCGCAGGCTCGCATCAAGATGCACGGTTTGACATCCCCAAAGAGCCCAAGATACCCCTGAAATAAGGAACATTCCTTGAATCATATGAAGGATCCCTTTATCCTTTAAGGTATATTCCTTAGTTAAGGGGTGCTGGGCCTGGGCTCTCTGGGCCGATCGAGTTGAGATGCCTCGATGCACGCATGCACCTTCGCATCTCCACAATGGATCGTCGTCAGCGACAGCTGCCGGTTCTTCGTTGTTTTCTAACAAAACACTTGAGAAACCCGGTTTCCCAACAAAACGTTGAGACTGCCTGTTTCCCAACAACACCCTTGAAACCCCCGTTTTTCTACAAAGGAGTCTCCCCTGCCTAAGTCCTCTGAGTAGGTGTTACAGTAGAGTTACAATCGGAGTTACAAGTACCCATTGAGGTTCATGAGCACAGGATTGATCTCCGAGCCCAACACTTCGGTTGTGCGGCATTGCAGCACTCCTACTTTAAGGAGAGCAAGCCAAAACAGTAAGCCTGGACTTGTCAAGTCTCCTAGACAACGAAAGGCTAACCCATGGGCTTCTGTAGATCCTACACTTAGAACCCAAACTTGAAGTTTTATGACGATTCTGCACTTGGTAGGGTTTAGCTTCTTTGTGGAAAAACTGGGTTTGACGGGCGTTGTTGGGAAACAGGGAGGGTCGAGCGACGCGTCACGCCTGGCCTGCGAGCGCGGGGCAGCGCTCGTGGCGCGAGCGCTGGCCCCATGTCCGGCCACCGCTGGCGCCACCCTCGCGCCACCCTCGCGCCATCCCGCGGGAGCGCCAGTGCTGGCACGACCCTCCAGCCGGTGCTCGCCCAGCGGGCGCCAGGCCCCCGAAGCCGCGCTGCGCGAGCGCTGGCTCCAAAGACGAGCCTCTGTACAACCTCTTTAAAGGGTTGTTTAGTATCAATATTAGTATTACTATTGTTATTATTATCATTATTCTGTTTATGATTATTATTATTAGGGGTCGGAACAATTCCCTTATGGTCCCTATATAAGTATTCTAATGTTTAAGGCCCCTGTGCAGTGTCGGTTGTATTTCAACACACCTGGTTGCAATTGCTATTTACTTGTAGTCTCCTTTTTTCCCGAGTTTAAGTATTAGGCTTTCGGCTACTGAGGCACATCTGAGGTATTGATGAGTGTATCTATGGGAGGTCAGTAGTAAAGTACCCTACTTCGCACTATACCGTAGGGCTCAGAGGCATTGACGCCCTGAAGCCAAAACCCTAATCCCCAATCCCTAAACCCTGAACCCTGAACCCTGAACCCTGAACCCTAAACCCTAAACCTTAAACCCTAAACCCTAAACCCTGAACCCTAAACCCTAAACCCTGAACCCTCGTAGGGGGTTCCTCGGGCCGCTCGCCGGATGTGCAAGGACCTGGATGACCAGCGCTGGTCCGAGGAGGCCTCGCATTCCCGAAGCGATCGTCTCCTTAAAAGTTTTACTAGGGTTTAGGGTTTAGGGTTTAGGGTTCAGGGTTTATGGTTTAGGGTTTGGAGTTTAAGGGTGTGATCGTGGGACTACCCCTAAGGTTGTACCCTTGGGTTGGGGACCTTTTGAAAGATCCTCTCAGGGAAAAGAAGGGCCATGTTAGCAGTATATTAAGGGGACCTCTTGGGGGTACATCACATCCTTAGGAGTCCGAGTATGACTCCGTAGATATGAAACCCAAGGGGACGTGTGAAAATAATGTTCCACTATGGTTTCTCAGGGGAGTCGAGAGCGAAAAGGGGTAGCACTTATAAACCCTGAACCCTGAACCCTAAACCCTACACCCCAAACCCGAATCCCGAAGCCCGAAAAAGCATTCCTTAATTTCGTGGGTGGGGGGGGGGGGGGAGAGGGCCCTGGGGGCAAGGAGATGGGCACAGCTTTCGGGGCATGCGTTGGAGGTCCCTGAAGCCCTGGCCTGCGACACGCTTAAGGCTTAGGCTTTTAGGGTTTTTGCTACGATATGCTCAAAAAGGCACCCCCCCCCCCCAACAAAAAACATAAAAACAAAGGACAAAGAAAGATAAAATGCATATTCTTCCTTCCTTATGAGGGCAGCGAAGTCTTCATGTTTTGGGGTGGCTCTTAAGCAAACAGTGGTGTGTGGTTTTTGGGTTTAGGGCTCTAGAACTTTGGGTTTAGGGTTTAGGGTTTAGGGTTTAGGGTTTAGGTTTAGGGTTTAGGGTTTAGGACTTTGGGCTGGATGTTCGAGGCCCCGAAAAAGTCGGTTCGACGCTTGAGGAAGGGTTCCACCCACAGTCAGAGTCTTAAAACCCTCGGAGGGTTTAGGGTTTAGGGTTTAGGGTTTAGGGTTTAGGGTTTAGGGTTTAGGGTTTGACATCAGGTATTCAGACTGAAGGGTTTAGGGTTTAGGGTTGATACAGGGTTTAGGGCTTTTTGGGCTTCAGCCCTATGGGCTTAGGGGCCTCGAAGGTTTTAGGTGCAACTTCAGATGAAAAGTCACGACGAAGTCGTCCACTTTTTTGGCGTTTTTATGGTGTCAAGGCCTTGGACTTCGGCGGGGCTTACGTTGCCGCAGCCTAGACATGAGCTGAGGGAAGCAGCTCGGTAACATGGGACCTTAGACTAGCAGTCCTGAATAGGGAAGAGAACAGGGGAGACACAAAATCCCTATCAATGACTGCTAGTGTAAGTGGCAACATCCCAAGAATTCGGGCTGAGTCAAAGCTAGCTGGAACCTGGGGTCGAAAGCACAGCCATGCATTATCCGGGTAGCCGTTTCTTGGAGCACGTGGGCGCGTAAGTGCAGGTTGTAGTAGCTTCTTCAAGCCTAGTTTCAACTCATACGGGCGGTTCCGCTGCAATTGTTCTAGCAATCCCAGTGCGACACGTGCAGCTTTCCCGAGGACTAGGGCGTCACACAGCTCGTGCAGAGGCACATATACATACATCTGTATATATATATATATTATGTAAGCCAAACGCATACATGCACACATATATGTATATATATATATATACATATGTGTATATATATATGTCTAAATATATCAACACCTTGTTCTGGGGTAGTCCTGCGCGCCAACTTGCGCCCACTGTCATACCGTCCGAGCTGATTCCATTAGTTGTTCCAAGACTGGGGCTCCATACAGTTCAGGATTCGGGTTTGCTTGAGCCCCTTCGGACCTGTATAGAAGTTTAGGATTCTGGCTTTCCTGGGGAAGTGAAGGATGTAGTAGGGTTCCGAGACCCATCCGGAGCCTTACTTGCCAGGGCTTTTGCGGGCAGGGGGTTTCGGAATTAGGCCTTAGAACTTGTGGTTTCCGCGTTTAAGACGCGGGATCTCGTTGCCACGGCATCTTTCGGCGACTGTGCGGAGCAAGACCTCAACCTTGCGTGGTTTGACCTGAACCTTGCATGTCGATTTTTTCGGCCGATGATCATGTCGAAACTGGGCGGAGAAAAATTCTACCCTGGACCTTGCTTAAACACTGAAAATCATGGAGCGATGATCTAGAATTTAGGACCGCGACATTCAAGACATAGTGAGAAGATCGGTAAGTCGGTAAGGGAGACCATTACTTTCGTAGTTCCATGATTCCATGAAGCCACTAGTTGATGACAATCGTGGCCTGTAAAAACCACACAGCAGCCGTTAGCATTGCCCTCACAAGGCCAACCGACGGCACCTTTGTGTCGCTGCCGGTCCTAGCAGCAAGGAATTAGAGAAGGCGCGCGAAATTTCCGTCAAGACATAGTGGGTTTCGTTTCGGATGTTCCCCCGGACCCCCTATTAAGATCCCTATACAGGACTGTTAGTTTAAAGGGGAACATCCCAAGGTTTCGTGTTCATGGTTACAGGGCTCCGGGAATTTGAGCGCGAATGCTTGACACCAGAAAATTTGAAGCCGTGAAGGCCGAGGCTGTTTTGCTCAGGAGCCATCGCAAGTTTGATTCATTTTTTGGCCCACGATCCTTGTATACCCGACTAGCCCATAGAAATTGAGTTCAATAAAACCCCCGAGTCCACCCCAGGTGAGTTCGGCTTGCCATATCGGATGTTTATGGCTTTGTTTGAGAGGCAGCATCCAAAGCCAGCTTTGACCAAGTTCCAAATCTTCAAACCCCACATCTGTAAACAACAACATATAGTAGCTATGTTTCGCAGCCTTTAAGAACCTCCCCATCCCTGCTGCAACCCCTATACCCTATGCCTTCACCCCAAGCCCCAAACCCCAAACCCCTAACCCCAAACCCCAAACCCTAGACCCTAGACACTAAACCCTAAACCCTAAACCCTAAACCCTAAACCCTAAACCCTCAACCCCAAACCCCAGACCCCAGGCCTTTTGGAACGTTCAAAGCCAGGAGTTGCAAGCCAAGAGTGGCCAAGTGGAGGTGGGCCGGGGATGGTGCATGAACCCTACGAACCCTAAACCCTAAACCCTAAACCCTAAACCCTAAACCCTAAACCCTAAACCCTAAACCCTAAACCCTAAACCCTAAACCCTAAACCCTAAACCCTAAACCCTCATTTCCCCTGCAAATTCCTACGCAACGCCGCTACTAGGCTGCGGTTTAGGGTTCAGGGTTCTGTAGGGTTTAAGACCTTAAACCCTCAACCCTGAACCCCTGAACCTTTGAGCCCGAAGTGGGCGCGGCTCTGCCCTGAGGACGCCCGTGACTACCGCGACGAGTGCTTCCTGCGCGTGCTGATACTCTCCCGCACCTGGCTGCAATACTGCAGGGGCCTTGGCGTGCTCTGTGTAGCTTCTTGTTTTGTAGTTCGTGGCCAGGGGCCCTGAACCCCAAACCCGAAGACACTGAACCCTGAACCACAGGAGTTTGGGGTTGGGTGTGTCCCACGTCGGATTCATGCGAAGTCACCTCAATATCTTTCAGCCTCTCAGCCTGAGTTCCTACGAAGACCCCAAAGCCCTAAACCTCGCCGACCCGGAAGTGAGCCTTCTCTCCGACCCTAAGCTAGTGGGACTAGACCTCTCCTGGGAGCATTTTAAACCCTAAACCCTAAACCCTAAACCCTAAACCCTAAACCCTAAACCCTAAACCCTAAACCCTAAACCCTAAACCCTAAACCCTAAACCCTACACCCTAAACCCTAAACCCTAAACCCTAAACCCTAAATCCTAAACCCTACACCCTCAACCCTCAACCCTAAACCCTTCTAACTCGTTGGTAATTTGTCATTTCGGAACCGCAACATTTGGAGTCTTCGAAGGATCCTAAAGAGTTGAAAGCAACCACAACCCAGTTGTTTTATATGGGTTGGTGGTCTCTTTAAGTAGGGTTTCCGTTTTATTAGGGCACACATTCGGGGTTCGTATTTGGGTATCTAGGGGCTATGTTAAGGTATAAGGGCAACAGATAAAGAGGCCACCGGCCTTTACAACAACTGTTACTTATGACCCACTGAACAAGGCCCTCAAGTGCCCTAGCATGGTTATGATTGGGCTATAACCCTAAACCCTAAACCCTAAACCCGAAACCCCTATTAAACCCTAAACCCTAAACCCTAAACCCTAAACCCTAAACCCTAAACCCTAAACCCTAAACCCTAAACCCTAAACCCTAAATCCCAAACCCCAAACCCTAAATCCCAAACCATAAACCCTAAACCCTAAACCTCCAAGCAGGTCATACCTTTCTGAACAAGGACAAGGCGCAATCCAAGCTGCTGGACGATGCGCCTGTCCTGCAAGGGAGGCTTCAAACTGAAACGTCTTATCTTTGAGCATAGTCTCTCACTGACATTGAATTATTGCCAGCCTTGAAAGCCTAAACCTTAAACTCTGAACCCGAAACCCTAAACCCTAAACCCTAAACCCCAAACCCTAAACCCTAAACCCTAAACCCTAAACCCTAAACCGGCCATGGCTTCGTCCTCGTCCGAGGCGCCCGTGGCACCTTGCAGAACCCTAAGGAACCCTTCGGCGGAAACCCTGATATATATATATATATGAGCCCGCCGCCTTTAGGGTCTATTTAGCTTTGGGTTTTTCTTATTGCTTTAAAAGAGCGAATATAAATTTCGTACTACAAAAACACATATTTACACCTGCATATGGCACACAAATCTCATGCCCAGCGATTCTAGGCCTAGCCGCACGCCATTACGAACTGCGAATTTCTGATTATTCTTATTTTCATTTGCTTCTCTTTGCTATCTGTGTATGCGTGTTCTTTTTTCAGCCTGCGTGAAAAAGTCGCTGTTTGGCTGCGGCTTCAGAAAGACTCTGGCATTCGTATGTGCTGTGAAATTACCCTGCACGTTTAAGTTAAGCACATCTGTAAGCCCCCTACGTCCCATCTGCAGCCTGCCCCCTTCCCCCCCTACTCCAACCCCCTACCCCATCACCCTCAACATGCCCCCTTCCCACAATTTACTACACCCACACCACTCGCACCTAACCCCTCCTACCCCTCCTCACACCCCTTCACTCCAAACTACCAACCTGAAGTTATCATAACTATAATAACTTCAACTTCCCCATCATAAGTTATCATAATAATGATAACTTTAACTTCCCGATCAAAATTATCATAACTATGAAAAACTTTAAGTTCTTAATCTCAGAGTATGATAATTATGATAAGCAACTTTTCATAATTATGATAAGTTATCATAATCATGATAAGTTATCAGAAGTTATCATAATTACGATAAGGTATCATAATTATGATAAATTGTGATAGTTATCACAAGTTATCCTCCTCACCCTTTCCTGTTGAAAGTGCTTACGGCTTAAAGACCTTAGTACATAAAGCTGTACTAAAGCGCAAAGAAAACAATGCTTACGATACAGAGACTTTGGTACACTATGATGCGTCAAGACACAATGAAATTATGCTTGCGATCTATACATTGCGCCCTTTGAGATAGTTGAGAAAGAAAAAAGTGGCCGCGTGCCAACATTAATTGCTTGTAACGGGGCCGCGGCCTACATACGACATACCCCGCTACAGGGGGTATGTATTAATGGTCGGGGTTTTGCGACAGACCTGTTTGTTGTTGTCTGCAGGTTCCAAGTCTTGCTTATCGGGGGGTAAGTGTTCGTAAGTTTCAAGGAGCAAATATAAGTATCCCTGAATTTGAAACCCCCTTAAACTCTTAAAGGCTGAGAACGCGGAGTGGTTCCAAGTCTTGCTTATTGGGGGGTAAGTGTTCGTAAATTTCGCCAAAAACATGACAATTTTTCCGCGGAATATGTGTCAATGGAGCCGTGCTAACACAAAAAAGCATGACACATGTTCCGCAGAATATGTGTCACCAGAGTTCTCTTAGCACCAGAAACATGACAGTTTTTCCGCAGAATATGTGTCAGTAGAGCTGCGCTAACACAAAAAACATGACACATTTTCCGCGGAATATGTGTCAGTAGAGCCGTGCTAACACAAAAAAGCATGACACATTTTCCGCGGAATATGTGTCACCAGAGTTCTGTTAGCGCCAAAAACATAACATTTCTTTCGCAGAATATGTGTCAGTAGAGCTCTGCTAACACAAAAAACATGACACATTTTTCGTGGAATATGTGTCAGTAGAGCCGTGCTAACACAAACAAGCATGACACATTTTTCGCGGAATATGTCGCACCAGAGTTCTGTTAGCGCCAGAAACATGAGATTTTTTCCGCAGAAAATGTGTCATTAGAGCTGTGCTAATCCAAAAAACATGACACATTTTCCGCGGAATATGTGTCAGTAGAGCCGTGCTAACACAAAAAAGCATGACACATGTTCCGCAGAGTATGTGTCACCAGAGTTCTGGATACGAAAAGCAGGAGACCCCGTTAGTATGTTTGATAAAGGAAGTATAACATCAAACGAATCAACATTAGACCATCTACAAAATCATTCTTATGAAGATGTAGGCAATGCTACAGACAAAGCAGGAAATCTACCTATAACCGAAGAAGAGATTTTTACAACAGTTTACTTCAATGATCTGATATTCATAATGCTTCATAAGAAAACAACAACATACGAACAAATAGAGAAACCGAAGAAGAGAAGAAAGTCAAACAACATGCTTACGAAGAGATAAGAAAGCTCGTTGAGAATAATGAAGTAGAAGAAGCAGCTAAGGAGGTGAAAGGTAAGAAGAAGAACAATAGTCAAGACATTTCATACAGCTTCAAATTATTTGATTAAATATAAGATTAAAGTATGTGTAACTAAAACATCTCTGCCATGTACATATACAGGAAACTTTTAGTCCCGAAGATATCCTCAATGATAATTTATGTTTTCAATTACACAATGGTAGTTCCCATATTAAATGTCAAGGGTTCAAAAATAAAACGATTGTTGGATTTAAGCCATTGCGTGGCCTCTTCTCACAATTTCAATATTTGTTGTTCAAATATATGGGAAACTTAACAATTGAATTAGAATTCGTAACTTCTGCATCAAAACTGACACGGTTGCGATATCCACCAACATGCAAGACTAGTTGCGCTATCCGCGTTCTCAAGCCTCCTCAGTTGCAATAACCACTTTCTTGGTTTTGTTATCCTCCAACTGGTTGTGATCCTTTAATCTCACCCGGAGGGGCTCCCCTCCACCTGTGCGGGTGGAACGGGGGGTGGAGGGGTGGAGGGGTGGGTAGGGGGGGAGGGGTGGGTAGGGGTGGAGGTGGAGAGGAGGGGTGGAGGGGTGGTGTGGAGGTGGGGAGGTGGAGGGGTGGCAAATACGAAAACATGCGGATTTAAACTGGTCTTTTATACTACCTCTCTTGAAGTGGCAGGTTGGCCGCCCTCCACATATAAATAAAACGTCACCGAAACAGAACTCTGGTGACACATAATCCGCGGAAAATGTGTCATGCTTGTTTGTGTTAGCACGGCTCTACGGACACATATTCCGCGGAAAACGTGTCATGTTTTTTGTGTTAGCACAGCTCTACTGACACATATTCTGCGGAAAGACTGTCATGTTTTTGGTGCTAGCAGAACTCTGGTGACACATATTCTGCGGAAAATGTGTCATGTTGTTTTGTGCTAGCACGGCTCTACCGACACATATTCCGCGGAGAATGTGTCATGTTTTTTGTGTTAGCGCAGCTCTACTGACACGTATTCTGCGGAAAAAAAGTGTCATGTTTCTGGCGCTAACAGAACTCTGGTGACACATATTCCGCGAAAAATGTGTCATGCTTTTTTGTGTTAGCACGGCTCTGCTGACACATATTCCGCGGAAAATGTGTCATGCTTTTTGTGTTAGCACAGCTCTACTGACACATATTCTGCGGAAAAACTGTCATGTTTTTGGTGCTAGCAGAACTCTGGTGACACATATTCGGAGAAAAAATGTTATGTTTTTGGCGCTAAGAGAACTCTGGTGTCACATTTTTCGCGGAATACGTGTCATGCTTTTTTGTGTTAGCACGGCTCTACTGACACATATTCCACGAAAAATGTGTCATGTTTTTTGTGTTAGCACAGCTCTACTGACACATTTCTGTGGAAAAACTGTCATGTTTTTGGTGCTAGCAGAACTCTGGTGACACATATTCTGCGGAACATGTGTCATGCTTTTTTGTGTTAGCGCGGCTCTACTGACACATATTCCGCGGAAAATGTGTCATGTTTTTGTATTAGCACAGCTCTAATGACACATCTTCTGCGGGAAACATGTCATGTTTCTGGTGCTAACAGAACTCTGGTGAGACATATTCCGCGAAAAATGATTCTGCGGAAAAAATGTCATGCTTCTGGCAGCTGGTGCTAAGAGAACTCTGGTGACACATATTCCGCGAAAAATGTGTCATGCTTTTTTGTGTTAGCACGGCTCCACTGACACATATTCCGCGGAAAAATTGTCATGTTTTTGGTGGAATTTACGAACACTTACCCCCCGATAAGCAAGACGTGGAGCCACTCCGCGTTCTCAGCCTTTAAGAGTTTAACGGGGTTTAGAATACAGGGATACTTATATTTGCTCCTTGAAACTTACGAACACTTACCCCCCGATAAGCAAGACTTGGAACCTGCAGACAACAACAAACAGGTCTGTCGCAAAACTTCGACCATTGATACATACCCCCTGTAGCAGGGTATGTCGCGCATGTGGGCCGCGGCCCCATTACAAGCAATTAATACCAATTTTTTCCGGGGGGGTGGGTGGGGGGGGGTGGGGGGGCGGGGGGGTGGGGGTGGGTGGGAGGGGGGGGTGGAGGTGGGCGGCTGGGGGGGGGGTGGAGGTGGGGGGGGTGTGGGGGGTGGGGGGGGGGGGGGTGGGGGGGGGGGGTGGGGGGGCGGTGGGGGGGCGGGGTGGGGGGGGGTGAAATCGATTTAATTGGGGGGAGACCCAGTCAAGCCATAAGCCAACCAATTAAATCGTTTAAATCGCCCAGGCCAATTAAATAGTTTAATTGGCCTGGGCGATTTAAACGATTTAATTGGCTCCAATCAAATCGTTTAAATCGGACGCCTGAATTAATCCAATTAAATCGTTTAAATCGCCCAGGCCAATTAAATTATTTAATTGGCCTGGGCGATTTAAACGATTTAATTGATTGCTTTATGGCTTGACTGGGTCTCCCCACAATTAAATCGATTTAAACGATAAACGATTTAAACGATTTAAACGATTTAATTGAGTCCAATTAAATCCTTTAAATCGGACGCCTGGACTAAATAATTTAATTGGCCTCCACGATTTAAACGATTTAATTGAGTCCAGTTAAATCGTTTAAATCGCCCAGGCCAATTAAATTATTTAATTGGCCTG